CTGATACCCTCTTTCTGTTTTCTCCCTCCTTCCCAATCTCCTTTCATGTCTACCTCGCCGAGTAATCCCCCGTGACTGGCATTTGAATAATCGGTCATTAAAATTTTCACTATTTTCGCTTAACTATACACGAAAGTGGAAAAATCAGCATCGTTCTAATTAACCTAAAACCTCTAAATGTGTCTGATTCGATAAGCCCTATAGCAGTGATGAAAAAGCAAACTTTCGTCAGTACTGATATAGCAGCTTTCGCGAAAACATTTAAGAAACACGTATTTCAAATAAAATTGCAGTTTCTCTTTTATCTTAAAGCTCTATAAGAAAAGCCAAAAAAAATGACTAGGATGGGCTACACACGTACAGTATCAGTAAAACGTTCTAGGCAACTGGGGTTTCACCCGCTTTACGCAAGCGCACTTGGCCCCTTGTGCCATTTCCGTCATCTGTGGAACTGTAACTGAACTCCATTCGACCATCAACCCTAAGGAATACATAAAAGGTTTGCAGCAATTAAGATTGAGAAATGGATGTCAGCATCAACACATTGTACAATACACAGTTAAGGAAAAGCAACGGAGAAGGTACAAGAGCTCATAAGCGCAACGATGTCACACTTAGCCTCGTTTTCCATAAAATTTTCACGAACCGTTGCTACTCTCTCGTTACTTTCATACTCTCAATGCTTTGGGAATACTTTCCTATTAAAGGTCACCAATCCGCCAACTTGAGCATAAACAAGCCACTGCTCTGATAGCACCTTGATCACCGCATGCTCTAACATTCTCGAAGGAGCAGTCAGTTATATAATAGGTCAAGTGTGGGTGTGGATGGGTGTTAAATGAAAAATCTGAGAGCAACACATGAATACTGGTCTTTTTCAAATCACTTGTCCATCCCCATACTCGTTCCCATTCCCTCCTATCCTACCCCTCCATAGACATGGGCCATCTCATGTCAAGAGCCTTTAGCATATGAGTCAATCAAAACGATTTGTGGCACAGAATTCAAGTTTCATGTATAGTAGCTATATATTTAGAGAAGTTTATTGTACGTAGAGAAACAAAGTGTGTACTTACTTTTCAGCTGTTTATGTGCAGCATCAGTAAATTAAGAAAAAAGAGGAGAAAAGCTAAACATTAGTGACTTGCATACATATGTATACATATACCAATATGTACACTGTGTGTACAATGTGACGATACAACAGTCTCTTGTATGGGTGCTGAGTAAACTTCATTCAAAATAAAGAATTTTTTTACAAAGATTTTAATACTGCATGTGGGCCATGCCCAATAGAGATCTTTTTAGAAACTTACTGAAAGCTAAAATACAATTTATGCCTTTTCCTGAGCATTGTTGCCCAGATTTAATATTCAATATACACTTTTAAAAACCTGTAATACTTCAACTCTTTCATTTCCAACATCTAAAGCTTACTTCTCATCACAGTCCACCATAATTTTAGCACTGAAAATTTGTTGTTCAGTCAATCGATACCCACTAGTAAATAATTATTTTTCTTCCTTCTTATTGCTTGTGTGTTGATCAATTAGATTAAACAATAACTAATCACAATTTCTGATACAAATGTTCAAATAAATTGTATCTTCCCTGCTGCAATGCAACTTTGGTGACACAAAACGAATACCACTTACAACTTAAAGAGTCTTTTTTTTCAATGGGGAAGGCGGAAAAAATGAAGGCTTAATTGAAATACATAGAGGCACCTTTGAGCTATTCATAATAGATACTGTTTCACAAACCTTTCTCTTTGTCCTTCTTTCTCTTTTCAGCAATGAAGATGATTAAGAAGAGAACAAGGGCCTCAACAATAATACCAATAACAGGCCACAGAGGGCCCAATCGATCTATTACAAAAAAAGAAACAGAACCAAACACCATTGGTGGATACTCGTAATACAATTCAAAGTCACATAATATTCTACGCTAAGATAGAGTGTATGCCACCATACAGTAATAGTTGGAATCAAATGAGAGCAACAGAGATTTCAGCAACTATAATACTAATGATAATCAAAATAATCAAAATAATATAAATATTGATAATGATAGTGATAAGGACTATGATTATAACAATACTAAAAATAACTATAATAATAACATTAATTGTACGTGCTACTAAATTTCCATGCATCTATCATTGAGATTGTTCCATGAAAGTGTACACCAACAATTTTTATTCAAGAGCTGCAATGCATTAAAAAAAACAAATGAGTGAGCACAGCTAACAAGTGAGTTTTTTGATGCATTGCAACTCATGAATAAAAATCAATTGAGCACTTCCCATGGTATGATGTTTTTATTTCATACATGCTGAGATTTTCCTTCCTGACAGACACATTTCAAAGATTGGAAGCAAATGACTGTGAAAATATATCATTCATCCAATCAGAGACACCAATGATAGAACTTCACTGAAAATTTCAACATGTACAGTATGAGATAAAGTGATGATTCTGAAGACATACATGTACATGTTCATGTAAACTTTGACCCCTCAGAGTGACTATCATCTACATGTAATTTCTCCTAATAGCATCACCCCTGAATCAAACATTACCGTCATGAGAATAAGAGAAATGATCACCAACTGAAGAGATTCTTGATTTTCAGACACAGGCCCTTCTCAGTACCAAAGGAAATGCATAGAGAAGTGATGTTGGGGTATAAAGGATTACAGCAAGTAAAATAGTCAAAGTACAGCCTCACCTCTGACACGAAGAATGAATCGCTGGCACTTATCTTCTACATTTTTGGAGCAGTTTGAAGGAAGACAACAGTAATAAAATCCACGGTCGCTAT